GCTCTGGACAGGTCTGGGACCAGGTGACACAGTGAACTGAACTGGACTCAGACGTTTCTTTAATAAAGTTTCATCACAGAGAGTTTCAGACCACCACACACATGTTTATGTGTTTCCTCCGTTCTCTGGTTCTTTTCTTCATCCTGTTCATTGTCTGTATTCCATTTAATAAATGATGTGCACTTTTGTCTTTTTGAAATGACTCTGATGCTTTGTCATCATTGTTCACCTGATTTCTTGCCAATCCAGCCTGTAGGAGTGAAACATAAAAATATAAAGCAGGCTGGTGCTGCTGACGGCTGTCCTGGTTAATACAGCAGCAAAGGGACCTTATTAGTGAGGCTTTGAAAACATTATATAAATAGTAAATCTGACAGATCTTAAATGGAAAAAAAAACTTCACCTGTAAAGTCAATCAATTCACCTTGAAATGTAAAATCAAGGTTATCAAAATCAGAAATACTTTATTGATCCTTCAGGGGGAATTGCTTTCAGTTACAGATGCTCCCAATCAAACGTCTTAAAAGAAGTAGGAAAGTAAAAACATATAATAAATAAAATGTAAAGTACTAATATGAAAATAAAATAAAATAACACAACAATAAACATACATTCTGCTGTTGTAGGTGTACATACAATAATAATAATAATAATAGTATTAATAATAGTATTACCATTTGGATCATATTAACCACATGATTAAGGAATCAGTATTTTTAAATATATTTTCGATCACATCAAGTAAAAGCTTTGATCTGTACCTTTACACTAAAATCTTACTATATATATTCAATAGATCCTGTTTTTGTTTCACATATAAATTCTATCTTTTATTGTTGTGCATTTCATAAATGATTTATTTTTTTAAAGGGAGAACTTCCATCCAGCTGCAGATGTATTCTCTCTTTGCCAGAGGAGCAGATCTGATGAATCACAGCCACCTGCTGCTACTTCAGTTGGTTCAGTAACGAGCCACTTGCACGAGAGTTTGTGCAAAAGCTCAGAAACATGGTGTGACAGCGTTTGGAGGAAAGAACGGAGCATCTGTTCTGCGTTTAGGACTTCTGAGCTCAGCGCTGAAAGGAGGAGACGCTCTTCTGTTTGTCTTTCACATTCTGGTTTGTTGAACTGATCACACTTAATGTGGGACGGCTCTGCGGTCTGACACATGCTGGCGTCTCTGTTCCACACATTCCACGTCCACAGCTCTTTGTTTGGAAGGTTCTGAAGCAGAAAACATGAACATAAAAACATGCAGACGCTGCTGCTGACCACTGATACGAGTTCTCCCTGTGAGGAAACACACATTAGTCTGACGTCTAACCGCTTTGCACTGAATGAAGCTGTGAACTCAGGCGTGTTTTTAAGGAGAGCTGCAGAAAGACTGTCAGCAGCCACAGCGACTGTTGGACGGATGTGGAGGAAGGTAAAGGTTTGACAGTGACACCTAAAGGTCATCATTAACATCACTACCTCGGTGTCTGGCTGGTTTCCTCTTCTGTTTAGTCATTTCCAGTCACAACAAACCTGTCGGCCAAATAAAAAATCACTAGAAAGCTTTAGTTTCTCATCGCCAGAGTTTAGCTGTATTTAATGCAGCAGCTTCCAAACGTTTGTCCTCGTTGATCCTGTGACTCTCCATCGCTGGCTTTAGTCTTATTGTGGACATTAGTTTGGATTCATTTAAGTGAATTTCTTCCTCTGACGGGTTCATTTGCATGTCTTTAGATGCTTTAAGAGCTCAAGCATCCTGTGTTTCATAAACACAAGAGAACAACCCAAAACACACACATTCATCTGTGTAACTAAAGTGTCTCCCAGTGTTTCAGCTGATCCTTTGAGATCTAGTTCAGAATTCATCCTCAGAGTCTCTGACTTAACGTCTCGCTGTATTTACTCACTTATTTGTCATTTTTCAGTCAGAAACTAAATATTTATCAATGAAAAAGTCACCATGAGTCTAGATGATCAGTGCTAAGAGAAAAATCCAAAACACACACCTTTTAGTGTAACTCTGGAGTTTTTATGGGATTCTGTTCAAACCCTCAGAACATGAACCACTGATGCTGTAAAAACTGTTGTTAAAATTCATCTCGAACATCGTGTCTTCTTGTGTTTCATCTGCAGCCAGAAGAAACCTGCTGGTCTCATAACAAACATCACTATGAATCTAAACCTTGGCATGAACATGGTCATCGTAGGGGTTTAACTGTAGTCTCTGATGTGGTATCCATAGTTTTGGTGCCCAAAAGTACCAGAATCCTTAAGATTCTTTACGGGTTCCCGACACTCCGGATACAAACCTCTGGCGCTACAGAGAGGCCACTTTCTACAAACGTAAAAAATAAACGTAGAAATGTTAACGATCAATCTGAACTATTTCTAGCACAATGTCTTCTTGTGTTTTGTCTTTTGTTGATGTCATTGCTGCTGACGTAACGGCTTCCTGTAGATCGAACTGATCTCTGGTCTGTGGATAACTCAGAGCTGAACTGTGTTTGGTTGTTTCTGTCGTCGTATACTTACAGACGCTGCTGGTAGACGACTCTGTGCACGAAATTTCAGTTCAAACAGTTAAGACGGGGTCGTACAGACTGACTCAGTTGCGGCTCGATGGGTTTTGGTTTCGTGACCCCGTCTGCAGAGTCTGAGCAGGTCTGTGGTGTCCATCACTCCTCGGTCTGCTCCTCCTCCTGGTACGCCGTGACGGAGGTGGAGCTGTACGGGTCCAACACCATCTGAGCACAGCGGACGATGGTCACCAACAAGAAGAAGCAGAGCAGGAAGAAGAAGAAGAGGGCGAACCCCAGATCCACGTCCACGTCCAGCCTGGCCGCGGGGACGGTCGGAGAGTCCATGATGGCAAATCCAACTTCCTGCTCCGGCGCCCTCCGATTCTGCTCGTTAGTCCAACCAGTGTTTATCTTTGGCTGTTTTCACTCTGTTTTTCTGTCTCCGTCTAGCTTTCCTCCCAGCATTGACACCTTCTGTCCTCCTCCCAAAGATCAGATGGACCGGTGGACACTCAGAGCCCCATTTGGCACCTGTGTCCTCCATGAAAACTTAATGAGGAGTTTGGTAACGATCAGGCCGTTCCTGAGATTAGAACACCCGGGCATCTCTTCAGGAGACCAGGCCTGCACGGGAGACGACACCTCCACAGGAGTCACAGGATCTGCGGTCTGTTCAGCAACAAGCCACGAAGGCCCGGACGAACCCGAGGCACAAAGTGAACATGGTGTTCGAGGTCCGGATCGCTTCAAGGCCTGGAAACGGCGGAAAAACACGAGCAAGGAACGGTCAAGACTTAGAAAAAAAAAAAGAACGGGTTGAGGAGGAGAAAGAGGATATGACGCCTCGGTGGCAATCCACTTGAGAGGAGTGGAAACTGATCCTAACAAAAAAAAATGCAGATTGCTTGTATTCTGATGCCACCGACAGACACGCGCTCAAGTAAAGTGACTCCATGCAAACAACAGCAGATCTGGATTTAAATAAGAAAAAAAAAAGTGGAAATGACACCAGAAAAACTCGCTTTACAGCAGACACCAAACTGCAACCTGAACGGGGCTCAGTGGACACAGTAAACCCACTTGTAGCATTAATCCCATCCGTTTTCACCCCCAGGCCGCCAAACAGAGGCGGAAGGACGAAGGTGGAAACTGATCCCAGGAGACGACGGCAGATCTCAGAGTCTTCGCCGAAGCACAGAAAGAGGAAAGAAAGCAGATACAGGCCGATCAAAGCTAAGCTGCTGGCTTCTGTTTCTCCACCAGATAAGAACATAAAACTGTTTGGAGGAAGTGAACACATGCGTGGATGTAACTAAAACAGCCATGACTCTTGCATGAGTGTGATCGGCGGTGTGCACCACTGAACCATGAACAACGCTGGATGTATGGTGTCTGAAGTGTTCGCCTCCCTGACAAGCGCTCTCCTTTTATTGCTTTTAAACACTGAATCTGGGCGATTTAATTTGACTTTTTGACACCAATTAACACAAATAAAGACACTTT